AGGGGGTCTGGGGGTGTCCTGGGGGGGTTTGGGGGTGTCCTGGGGGGGATTTGGGGGGTCCTGGGGGGATTTGGGGATCCCAGATGTGCTTTAATCCCATTCTGGGTGGGGCTTTGGGGGTCCCCAGGGAGATTTTGGGGTCCTGGGAGGGATTTCAGGGGTCCCCAAGGAGATTTTGGGGTCCTGGGAAGGGTTTTGGGGTCCCCAAGGAGATTTTGGGGCCCCCCAGGTGTGCTCAGGTGAGCGGGATCAGCTGCGCCAGCGCCTGCACGAGGCCGAGGCCGCCCAGGTGAGCCCCAGAGACCCCCCCGGGACCCCTCCCCACTTTTGGGGGTCCCCCCTGGGTATCGGGGACCCCCCAAAAATCCCCCCCGTGCCCCCCCAGGAGCGGCTGCGGGAGGAGCAGGAGCAGCAGCGGGGGCAGCTCGAGGTCAGCGGGAATTTGGGGGGATTTGGGATAAAATTGGGGGGATTTGGGATAAATTTTGGGGTATTTTGGATAAATTTTGGGGGATTTTGGGGAAATTTTGTGGGATTTTGGGTAAATTTTGAGGGATTTTGGGTAAATTTTGGGAGGTTATGGGGAGATTTTGGGTAAATTTTGAGGGATTTGGGATAAATTTTGTGGGATTTTGGGTGGTTATGGGGAGATTTTGGGTAAATTGGTGGGATTTGAGGGGGTTTTGGGTAAATTTTGAGGGATTTTGGATAAATTTTGTGGGATTTTGGGTAAATTTCGGGAGATTATGGGTAGATTTTGGGGGATTTGGGGGATTTTGGGTAAATTTGGGAGATTCTGGGTAAATTTTGAGGGATTTTGGAGGGACTTCGGTGGATTTTGGAGGAATTTCTTTGGGATTTGGAGGATTTTTGGTAGATTTGAGTAAATTTTGGGAGATTTTGGGTGATTTTGAGGGGATTTTGGGTAAATTTTGGGAGATTTTGGGTGATTTTGAGGGGATTTTGGGTGAATTTTGGGTGATTTTCCCCTGCAGGCAGAGCTGGGGCAGCTGCGGGCGGCGCTGGGGGAGGAGCAGCGACAGCGGGAGCTGCACGAGGCCGAGGGACGCGCCCTGAGACAGGTGTGACCCCAAAACACCCAAAAACACCCCAAAACACCCCTAAATACCCCCAAAACACCCCCAAATACCCCCAAAACAACCCAAAAGACCCCCAAATTCCCCCAAAACAGCCCCAGAATTCCTCCAGAAGAGCCCTAAAACAGCTCAAAACAGCCCCAAAATCTCCCCAAAACAGCCCAAAACCACCACAGAACAGCCCCAAAACCCCAAAACTGTGTCAGAACCCCGCAAAATCCCCCAGGACCCCCCAAAATCCCCCCAGGACCCCCCAAAACCCCCCAGGACCCCCCAAAGTCTCCTAAAAACCCTCCCAGGAGCTGAAAGTCCCCTCCAAAAACTCCCCCAAAA